CTTCCCACTATCTGGCGCGGCTCCCAGTGTGCTATTGGGTTCCCAGGAGCTTCTGGCTAAAAGTGGGTCTCATCGGTATATTCAAGCTGGCTTCCCTCGTCGGTCTGATTCGGGTCATTATGATGTCTTTATGCGTCGATGTGTGGACGATATTTTAGGCGTGACCACTTCGTTCTGTCGCTCATGCACGGCACTCTTCGTGCATTCCATGTACTCGGTCAAGCTCTCCACGGCTTCATCACTATCGTACTCTTCAGCTTCCTGGTTGGATTTGTAAGTGGTTGCAGTTGGTTCTGTCGTTATCGTGATTCCGAAGAATGACAGTCGGGCTTGGCTTTGCGATGCGCCCGCCCCCCCGTCGACGTGCTACTGTTCTACCTTATGTCGGTGCTCTCCCTCGTGGTTTCGCTGGCCTCTACAGCCTCTTTGCGGATCGCCTTTCCCGTGCCCGCTCTATGAAGCTCTCCGCGTTCCTGGCTTCTTACTGGCTCCTCGGACTGATCCTCGAGATGTTCCTGCTTGGCTACCCCCTGCCGCTGCTTCGCGCCCTTATCCGCCGCTGCCCTTGGAGCCTCGAGGTCCGCGAAGCTCGGCGGACCTTTCGCATCTGGGTCCGCCTCTTCTCACCATGAGCTCCGCCAGCCATGGGCCCGCCTCGTGGAGGCGGCGGCAAGGGCTTCAACGACGCCAGAGGCCTCGGAGGAGATCGCGGGGGCCGCCGCGACCTGCCTCGCGGCTGGGGCGATCGCCGCCCCGTTGGCCGCGATGGCCGAGATGATCGTGATGATCGCCGCGACCGCCATCGGGATCGCCGCCCCCGACCCGGCCCTTCAACGGAGTCGAGCGAGGGGGGGCCATGTCCCGAGCCATCGCCCGCAGCAGGCGTTTCTTGGCGAAGGAGGACCCAGAGTTTGCCAACTACCTAGTGGAGCGACGCCAGGCCAAGACGGAGGAGCAGCTGCGCGCCCAGGGGAGAGTCCTCGCGGAGGCCATGAAGTCCACCTCTGACGAGCACATGGCTAAGGTGCGTGGCCACGGTTCCCCGCCGACTGCGATTCCAACGCCACCATCAGCAGGCTCGCCAGCGGCGAGCAGTCCTGGCCCAGCTCTCTTCCCGCCTCCTGCTCCAGGCGGACCAGCAGCAGCAGCGCCCACGGACAGCCTCTCGCCAGTTGGCAAGGCTTGGCTCCAGAGCACCATCGGCGGCGAGAAGGTCCCCGGCACATACACACGTGAGACCCTCGCGACCTTCCTCATCGACTGCATCGCCAAGGACAGCGACGCCAAGGAGAGGGTCAAACACCTGCTGGTCACCATCGACGCAGGCCAGTTCCTCCTGAAGACCCACAAGCTACGCGCTGCCCCCACGGTGGAGCTTCTTTACGACCCGATGTGACGACAAACAGCGACCCAGAGCTCGACGGCTAGGCATCTGTATTCCCTCATCTACTACCTCATCTCCCTCTTCAAGTGGATTGTGCTTGGCATGCCCCATTCGCCTGAGTATCCGTATTCTTTTCCTGCAGGTTCCCGCCCAGTTCCCCATGCAGTTCCGTTTCTGTACGACATTAGTGTCATCTTCTCACGAGTCATACTCATGATGTGTATCCTGATCCTCAGTTTCGCGGTTTACGAGTCCTTCATACCTCCTCCAGTGGTGTATCTGAATGATGATTGGGATGACCCATACACCACCACTGCCCCTTCCTCTACGAGCGCGTCGTCTCTCTCTTTTTTCTCCCGAGCTCATGGTTTGCCTCCGACACGTTCAGAGGTTTCGTGGAGCTCCTCGATGCCTGGTGGACCATCAACATCCGACGCCGCTCCGAGGCGAAGGCCACTCAGCTTGTACTCGACCTGATGGGCATGGAGGCGCCCAGCCATGATGGGAAGAGTGAGCAGGCAATTTCAAGTTGGTTGCGGCGGTCCGCGATATGGACCGCCGAGCGTGTTTTCCGTTGAGCCTGGCGAGGTGCGAGCTGGACGGAGGCCTCCCCACGGTGAGGGATGCAAGGTAGCCAGCCTTCCACCCTGAGGTTGGGGTCATCCTCCTCCTCCTCCTCCTCCTCCTCCTCCTCCTCCTCCTCCTCCTCCTCCCCCTCCCCTTCGAGTTTAGCATTCATTCCATTCCCTTTATTCCAGGGGGGGTACAAGTAGCCAGTATCAACAAAGTTCATGAAGAAGAGAAGAACATGTCAATATTGTTCAGCACGTAGCTGGTACACAAGGTACATAATGAAGAAGGAAAGGCTGCCTCAGCCGCCCGGGGGGGCGGCCCGCTCCTCACCAGGTTTCTGCCTCTGTCTACTTGTTGAAGTAGAGCAGCGTGCATATCCTCCACCTCTTCTCTCCTCTCCTGAGATTGGCTGCTGCTGTGTGCCCCTCCTCCTCCTCGCCTGTCCTCGGGGTGATGGTTACCTCCCCCTCCTCCTGCTTGCCTTGCGTCAGGGTGGCTGCTGTGGGCGTCGCTGCCTCCCCCTCCTCCTCGTCCTCCTCCTCTGGTTCCAGCTGGTGCGGTGCCCGTAGGCTCCGGCCTCTCGAGCTCTCTGCCTGCGTCCACTTGCAGTATCAGATCTGCGTGGTGCTGGTGTTGCTGGCTGCTGCTGTTTCTGTGCGCGTTGGTGCTGCTGTAGCGGTCCTGAAGGACGGCCGCACGGATGCCGGCCATCATGAGCCTCATGCTGAACAAGCGGAGGGCGTCGTCATCCTGGGAGAGTGGCCAGGCCATCCTCCGGGACAGGCTGCTGATGGGCATGTCGATGCCCTTGCGGAAGCGCTCGAAGTGGATGCAGCGCCAGAAGTCGTGGTGGACCGTGGCTGCCTCACCTCCCGCGCACCGCGTGCACATCGGCATCGGGCCATCCTGACCATGCTGATTTGCGAAGTTCCTGGCGTCTGAATGCACTGCCCCAACGAGCACTGCCACCTCGTGCGGGTTCACCCCAGCTCTGAACGAGGTGTGCACCTGCTTCAGCGCCTTGTCGGGGAAACCCACATTCTCCTGCTGCGCCATGCGGGCTTCCCGCCGATCCTGCTTCTTGAACGCCTCCCACTGAGAATGGCGCAGAGCACGCCGCAAGTAGTGGAGTCTGGCCTTGCCCGGGGTGCGAGCGGTGATGTCATTATTCTCGTCGAACTGGTGTTTGAAAACCATCTCGTCTTGGCCCTGGGGCCCCTCCGTGTCAATCAAGATCCAGCCCATCAGGCCCATGGTGTCGATCAGGGCGGAGTAGAGCCCAGGGAGGGTCAAACCCTGCTGGTGCCACCTCTGCAGATCGCGGTCGACTGCTGCATGGCCCTTCCGGCGCCGCCTGGTGTCGAACACCTCCCAGAGCCGCCGGAGCTGCGCGTACACCACGTTCGCGTTGTGGCCCACCACCACCATCTCCAAAAGGTGTGGTGAACCAGTGCCCCAGCACCGTCTGCCTCGATAACTGCACACTGCGTGCCGCGCTGCCGTCTGTATCCGGGCCTGGGTCCCCTTAGGGAGGCACCGAGCCAGCATCCTCCATGTCAGCGTCGACATTGCTCCTCTGCTGTCGTGTACGCCTGCTGCCGAGTAGGCTCGAGCGCGTGACTGCCCACCGGCGCTCACAGCAGTCAGGGGGGCCGCAGGTCGAGCCTCCTCGTTCGGTGAGAAACGGACGCCATCCAGCCCCTCTGTCACCGCTCCCCAGACCCTCCTCCTCCTCCTCCTCCTCCTCCTCTTCCTCCTCCTCCTCGTCTTCCTCCTCCTCTTCTCCATCTTCCTCCTCCTCCACCTTTTCCGCTTCTCGTTTGCCTCCTACGCAACGAGCGCCGCATCTCATCCTCCGCACCCTCCTCCTCCTCCTCCTCCTCCTCCTCCTCCTCCTCCTCCTCCTCCTCCTCCTCCTCCTCCTCCTCCTCCTCCTCCGCCCCCTCCCCGCTTTCCTCCCTCCTGGGGGTGGTGCCTCCGACGGTCTCGCGGAGCGCCTGATGCGGACACCCCCCGCGCCCAGAGGGGGTCGGTGGAGGCGCATCCTCTCCCAGCCTTCCGCGAGGCCCTCGGGGGCACCTTCCCCAGACGAGAGAGACGGGGAGACATGGGGTGGACTGCGCTCCGACATTGGCACGTAAGATGCCAGCGTAGGGCCGCGCGTGGGCGCCTTCGTCTCCAATGTAGCATGCAGTGCTGGCAGCCTGCGCAAGCCACCGCGTAAGGTCGCCATGCTATCTCGCGTAGGACCCGTTTCTTTTCGTCGCACAGGTGGCGCGCTCCAGAGGCCTTTGCTGTGGTGGATCGAAGGAGTTGCCATCTCTTCCTCGGCGAGCGGCAGAGGGCGGCGGAAGCAAAACGGGAGTGGCTTCGCCAGCGGAAATCAACGGCTGGCGGAAAGTTGGCGGAAGGCCGGCCGAAGGGGGCGGAAGTCAAAGATGCGTTCGCAAGTCAACATGCTTCGGTTCATGCTCTCCGAAAACGGCCATGTGGGCAGGAAGAGGCCTCCGATCTTTCGGGCGGTCAGTCTCGGCGTCTTCCCCATCTCAGGGCCCGTTTCGTTCCTATCGGATCCGAGTCGACACTGACTCCGCCCAGCTCGATCCGCTTCGATCCCGATATTCCGGCGAGCCAGTGCGGTCTGTTGTTCGCGTTGCGTTGTTGCGCATCTTGGCGTAGCCATTCCGATCCGATGTCGACCCCAGCGGCCTCTTCCGCAAGCGTGCGGCTGCCCTCGCCCATCGGTTGGGCTCCCACAGGATCGCTGATGAAGAAGCCCCCGTCCCCAGACGACCGACGCCGTGACTTTCTTACAACGTCGACTCTTCATCCCGAGCCGCTTTTGGATGGTCCAGGGGCCCGGCGAGGGCCCCCAGAGGCCGAAAATGGCTAAAATTTCCCGTCGTGATTTTGTTCGCATTGCGCGGGGGTCTGGGGAGGTTGCGACTCGACCACTTCCCCAGGGGGTAGTTCTTTGTCCCGGATCCGTTGTGTGTCTTTTTCGCGGTGCGAGGGGGCCTGGGCCTCCCCCAATCTCTCCGAGGAGAGGGGCACGATGACCGACCCCCGCTGGATGGAGCGGGAGGCGTCCGACTCGGGCGACGACGACGCGGAGGTCGAGCACTATTTGGCCCGCAGGCGCGCCTACGACCGGCTCCAGCTCCTGGCCTGCATCCTGCTGGTTGTCCTGCACATGTCCAACGTGGCCATGGAGCACCCCTCCTTCTCCTCCTCCTGCTCCTCCCATTCCTCCTTCTCCTCCTGCTCTTCCTCCTCGGATCGGATCGGATCGGACATTAGGGCTTGTCACACGGGAGCCCGTGCAAGGAACTCAGTACATGAAGATAGTCATGGCGTAGCACAGCTGCACGATGACCAGGGTGAGCATGTCACCAAGAGAATCAAGATTCACCACTTGAGTATATACATCATCTGAAACCAAACCCAGCAGTGAAAATTGAGAGCTGTAGAATGAATAAGCCACCGCAGATACCCGTCCCACTCCAGCCCAACATGCCGTGAGATAGACGTTCAAATCCCATTTGGTGGCCGTATCACAAAATAGAAGCTGCATGAGGATCAATATGGAATTGTTCAGTCATATTGCCCATTTCCGGATACCTTCTTGGTATGGGACTCAATGCTGAAGCTTGGCCAGCTGCTGAACGCGAAGGCTCTGTGGGGCACCGAACACCAAGCGAGCGACCATTTTTTGGGACAAACAGCCCCCGGCGAGCATTTTCCCAAATAATGGTCGCCTCGAGGCTGGGAATGACATTGGTATGGGACTCGATGCTAGAAGTTGCATGAGGATCAATATGGAATTGTTCAGTCATATTGCCCATTTCGACCACGGTCGGTACCCTCTGCCACTCCTTGCCACATATGTGGAGTGGTGAGCAGTGCGTGCCGTGGCCGATTCGTACGAATCTAGAGGTAATCATATTCTTCTGCTGGAGACTTCGCCTTGAGGTCCTTGTTGGGAGATTGCCCTGCCATCCTGGTCTTATCCAGTGCGGCTGACCTGCGATTCTCATCTTCGCTCTCGGTAGCAAGGCTCTGGACCTCCTTGACGTCCGAGTTGTCGATCACCTCAGGATACTCGATCGTTGGTACATCTCCCTCCTCCATGTCCGTCACTTGGTTGTCCATGTCTGGTTTGCGCACCCATGGGCGGCGCACTGGCTGTGGTCGTACTGGTGCGGGCGGGCGTGGCGGCATCGGTCCATAGGCAATGTTCCATTGGCCATCTGCACTGCAGCTGGCTCCGCTATCTGGTGATGCTGCCTTGGCCCTCGCTTTTGACACCGCTGCAGGTGCCACTGGAGGTCGTGCTTTAGCTCGAATGCGGACAAGCTTCATCTTACCTCCCTGTTCAAGCAAGGCCCATCCTGAATGGTGAAGGAAGTGCAACCACATTAGGATGCTCTAGGTCCTCCGCAGTGATCTCGATCTCCTTGGTGTCGTCGGTCGCTGTGCGAAATCTAATCATAGCTGGACTCGGTGGCTTCGGAGCTTCAGCAAGGTACTTCTTGATGGTATGCTTTCCACCTCCCGCATCAACAGGTGCGTCGCCGCCAGCCTGCTTCGGAAGACGTGTACCAGAGTACTTTGGTGGCCGGGGTCCCTCTTCTTGAGATGCTGCCCTTGCTGACGTGGTTATTCCCGTCGATGGCTCTGCCGCGTTGTCAGGAACGTCCTTGTGGGTATCCGCTTCCACCTTATTAATGGTCTGCACTACAAGGCTGTCGTCCATGCCAGTCTTGCGCGCCTCATCCATCTGCCATGGCCGAAGAAGAAGATGAGGCGGGAGGTAGGCAACGTACCCATAGTGCGGCGTGAGAGAGTTAACGAAGTTAACGTCGAATAGCGTCGGGTACGTCGTTCGAAGCCTGTGGTAGCAGTCACTAAGCGCTCTCATGTCATTCGATACCTGCTGTAGATGCTGCTTTTCTTCCGTAGTAACCAGCCATTCATGTGTGACACGGTTGATAGCGCACTGTGCCTCGTAGAAGCGTGACCACTTGAGCTGGAGCTCGCGGCTGACACACTGCATGCTCATGATGTGGTGCTGGGCGGACTGGATGAGCTCCTGAAAAGCCTTGACATCGCCGTACCCGCTGTGAATGATCTGCTCCAATCTCTGACCCATACCATAGCCACTTGGTGTCGCGTCTGGAAGTGGATAGTCCTCTGTGCTTCCCACATCATCTGAGAAATTGAGTTGATTGTAATATCTGTCCATTGGCTCGACAAAGCCTCACGGGCGCCTCAAGAGCGCGAAACTTGAACCATAAATATGGCTATTCACCCGGCGGTGGTTCGGCTCCAAGATACGCTGTTTGACTCTTCCGCCTGTCCTTTGTTTTCATTCGTAGGGGGGGTCCATAAACTTTTATGGGTGGCCTCTGTGCATAATCATCACACCTGCCCTGAGCCCTGTTGCGTGCTTGCGCCTTATGCTTGCCATCATGATCGAGCTCCTCCTGTGTGGGCTGTGTGTGCTGCAGTGCCTCCTTCCATGGTATGGTACATGAGGGTACTTGTTTAAGATGTTTGATAAGACGCCCCCGCTCCCGATAGTCTTTCATACAGATTTGACATATAGTACCTGGAGCCCAGGATTTAGGATCATCCAATGGTGCATGTTGTTTAGTAACATGTTGGCGAAGTACTCGTAACGATGCAAATACTGCTCCACAATCGTAACATACATGCTGGGGAGGCGGTGGTGCTGGTGGAACTGCCTGAGGTTGGCTGTCCTGACTATCAATGAGGTCCTTGACGTGCCTGACCGCTGCAGACTTGATCATGTTCCTTGCTGGTCCAGGGTGCGTGCGAAAAAAATCCATCCAGCCCCTGATTCCATCCCCTAGTGTTGGCCTCCTTTCTAACGGAGTATACTGGTTTAGCCATGCAATATCTTCTTGAAGTAAACAAACCCAGTCTCCTTTGTGTGTGTATAGTATGTTTAACATGTGATGCAACCATGAGGGGCCTGAGAAACTGAGCCGTACTGCATATCGTAGTCTTGCCACCCGAAGTGCAATAGCAAGAGGAGCTCGCCTTGCCGTAGCATAAACATAATCCGTGCTGTAGTGCAGGTCGGGCTGATTAGTCTTAGTCATGCCAAGTGCGAAGCGATACACAGAATTGTGAGCCTGCTGCATGGTATGAAAAATCTTATGCGGGAGAGAGCCAAGAACACCAGCATTATATAGTAGACGACTGTTGCCAAGGGCTTCCCCATACTTGATCTTAGCTGTAACGGATAGATGTGGCGTGCGACGCAGTGCTCGACGTAGGGGCCCCATGCCAGCATTGAACGCTAACACGCGCCTAGAAACTTCAGGTCCCTGGTGTCCGTCAGCAGTGATGACATTGCCTAAGACCACCTGCTGCAGCTTCACTGGTAGCCCTAACCCAAGACAAGATGAAACAACATGAAAGTCTTCTTGCCCGTAAAAGATGTCCCTGTGATGCTTAGAATTAGCACCATTCAAGGATAACATGATTACCGACTTAGCTGGTTGTAGGCGTAGTCCGTTACTTAAAGTAGCCACTGCGATAGCATCGATGACTATTTTGAGGCTGCAACTAATGTCCTTTTCAGCTCCAATCTTACCGCAAACATTGATGTCGTCAACAAATGAGCAGTTCGTTTCTTGTAGCTGTACATGCTGATGCCTAGTATGAGCTGCAAATACACTGGGTGCTTCATTAGGGACCCATGCTAAATTATGATCGTTCAAGACGGAATCGATGTGCTGTAGTACCTCTGAGGTAAGTACATTGAAGCTGTCGCTAGCCATTTTCGTACCCGGACGTGATCCCGTGCGTGGAAAAGCTACATTGTCACTGCCTTGTACCTTCCACCATACTCCCTTGTTCACCTCGCTAAGCATGTGCACTAGATGATCATTGCTCATAGAGCGTGCGTACCTTCCAGGCTGTGCAAGTCGCTTTTTGAGAGCTGGAACTAGGACCTGAGGGATCTCCATGTTAGTAACAAAATCGTCGAAAAGATCAGGATCAGTGGGACAGTCCAGGATCATGTTCATGATGACGGTGTGAAATGCCGATTTGAGGTCAAGCATGACAGAGAACGCATTCCATTTTTGTTTCCTGGAAATCTCAAAGAGAGAGCGTAAACAGTGAACCACATAATCAGTCCCTTTCCCTGCCCTAGCCCCGCACTGTGTCTCTTTGAGGTATTTTTCAACTCCATCAAGTGCTGCTTGTCGTAGAAAGGCATGATAGCATTTGCTGATCGTGTTGGTGCACAAGATAGACCTGTAAGACTTAAGCAACTGCGGAAGTCCTTTTTTGGGGATAGGTGCTGCCCAACCGCCCTTAAAACCAAGAGGTTCGGTGCCCATGATGCTGGCCTTGACGAGTACTGGGTGAACCAATCTGGCCATAGCATCTGGAGCCACTCTACCAAGATCGGCGGGTAGCCCATCAGGGCCACATGCTTTACCTGCAGGGGCCTTCCTGAGGATGTACCTAATCTCCCGTTTGGTCGGAATCAAGTGCTTGTCCAACTGCCCGTGGTACTGTGTGCGCTGACTACCAACCTTATGTGTAACTTGTGCCTTGCTGAGATACAATGCATGCTCATGTTGCCCGAAGAACTCCTGCGCTGCCTGTGCCTGCTTCGCTGGTGTGTCGAGAATTTCCCCTGCTTCGTCCACCCGATATGGTAGCATACATGCTTTCTTAGCTGGCCTACCCGCAAAACGGAGAGTGATGCTGAGGTCCTGCCATTCTCGCTGAGGTAGATGCCCGTCGATGGAAGTATTAATGTGTTTGATCTTCTCTTCTAAGAATACCGTTCTGTCTCTCTCAAGCTCATACTTCATGTGCTCGCGCGTGCTTCGAATGAAAAGTACAAGAAACTGCTGCCATAGCTGCTGTTGCTGCCCACTACTCAATGCCAATTCTGCCGCTTGCCACAACCAATCGACCCAAGACTTGAGTGCTACAACAGGATGCTTATCATGCTCATGTTGCTCATGACATTCGTGCTGAACTTCACCACTCCATGCATGCATGACGTAAGGGTATAACTTGCCTCCTAAAATGTCGTGAGCAAGTCCACGAAGTCGTGCTGTGTATGCTTTCTGATGCAGTGTGGTATGCTCAGCTTGCAATCCCCGAACAATGCGAAGTGCCTTCTGTACAGCACGCCGTACACGAAGTAGTGCAAAGGT